CCAGGGCTCGGCAGCACCAACCCTACGCCCTGAATTCTGTTCTCTGTAAACCCTACACCCTACACCCTATTCTCTGTAAGCCCTAAGCCCCAAACCCTAAACCCCAAACCCTAAACCTTTACATAACCCCAAATCCTTAAGACTAAACCTTGAACCCTAAAACCTAAGCCCCAGACCTGAAGCCCTAAACCTTGTCTCAATCCCCAGTATTCAATCTGCTTCTCTACGCTCTACTCTGCAGGGTTCAGGGTTTACGTTTATGGATTCGGGCCTAGGTTTTAGGGTTTGGGGCTTAGGGTTGAGGGTGTAGGGTTTGGGGTGTAGTTTTCAGGGTTGGGCCCCCCACACATGGGAGTGTCCTGAACAGCCACCCGGTTTTTAGGTTTTTGGGTTTTGGTTTGTATCTGCTGGGTTGCTGCTAAGGAATATTAACTCAAGTGACTACAAATATTATATGTCCATATATGAAAACAAAAAATTCGCGAACAGCAACACTATGAACCACTCAAATGAATTGTTGGAAGGTTCCACATGTCTCTAACCTTGAATCCTTGGCCCTAATACAAGCGATTTTGGTGTGACCCCAAATAGGGAGCCCCAATCAAATAGTAGGAAGAACACAGGCATATAAGGACCCTGGCATGTATGTGCCTGTCATTTTTTTTGGCTTCCGTGTTTGCGGTCCCCTGTAAATTCTCTTAACCTGATACCTACACCTAAAGATCGCATCTAAATCTTAAAGCTCTTAACCCGTTTGTTTCAGCCTTTAGCCTCCTAAACCCGTAACCCTAGGATTGCCTCAAAACCTAGGGTTTAGGGTATATATCCCAAAGCCTTCAACCGACCCTGAGTTTTTAAACCTAAACCCAAAACTCTTGGCCCGTAGCCCTCAATCCTAAGATCCTGAATCCAAAGCCCTAAAACCCTAAACCCTCAAGCCCTAAACTTAAAGACCTTAAATCTTAAATCCCTAAACCCTAAATCCAAAATTCTAAGCCTTAAAGCCTTGAATGGCGGATGGCCATCCTCCAGCCTGGCTACAATTACAACTGCACAGCGCATAACCACAGAACCTGGGCATATTTGAAGGGTGTAGGGTTTAGGGTTTAGGGTTTAGGATTTAGGGTTAAGGGTTTAGGGTTTAGTGGGCATATTTAAAGGGACGGGGATTGTATAGAGTTTAGAGTTCAGGGGTTAGGGATTATGGGTTTAGGGTTTAGGGTTTAGTGAGCATATTTGAAGGGACAGGGGTTGTATAGAGTTGAGGGTTCAGGGGTTAGGGATAATGGAACATCGGAGAGAAAGTGGGGAGAAACATGTGTATGCAGAATATTCATGGGGATTAGGGATATATGAAGTGAGTGAATATATGTATATATATATAGAGAGAGAGAGCGCGAGAGAGAGAGAGAGATGCAGAGAGAGATGGTTGGTCTGGGATGTTGTAGTCGGCCAATTGTCTTGAGTTTAGAGCGACGTACTCTTTTGAGACTGGGTTTAGGTCGAGGTTGGGCTGTGGGTCTACATGTTCGGGTTTATGGGTGTAGAGTACATATGTCAGCGTTCAAACTTATTTTAGGGATTGGTTTAGGGTTTAGGTGCTTGAGGTTCAGGATTTTGAGTTTCGGTTCGAGAGCGAGAGCTCAGGGTTCAGGTTTCGGGTTTAGTGAGCTGCATCTAACCCAAGCTTTTCTGGGGGGCAGGGCTTACTCCTAAAGGAGGATAGGATGTAAGGCTTAGGCTTCAGGTTTGCATTAGGGTTTACTTAGGGCTGGGATTATTAACCGGAAAAGTCCAAGTACCCAAGTAACGGGGCGTGAGGTCCCACATGCCAGAATCTGGATGGTTTTGAGCACCTGCACCCCTAACAATTGGGTCCTTGAAGTCGAGGAAGCGTGTTTCAGAGGCCCAATAAGTTCAAGCATGCAGTAATCCTGTGCAGTTTCCCTAAATAAGGGGATCCCAATACAGACCCCAAACATTATAGTCGACTATAGTCCTTATTATAGAGACCGCCAAACAGGGTGCCCCCTACTTCTGGGAAACCCTAAACCTGAAATCCTGAACCCTGAACCCTAAAACCCTAAATCCTAAACCATGAACCCTAAACCCTAAATCCTAAATCCTAAGCCCTAAATCCTAGAACCTGTACCTTAAACCCTAAACCCTAAATCCCAAACCCTAAACCCTAAATCGTAAGCCCTATAGCCATGAAGATGAAATGTTCCACGCCTTGAAGCCTCAACGTCCCGAAAGCCTACAGCCAAACACCATTGGAGTCTGAGCCCAGCACCCAACACCCAAATCAGCTATGTAGTTTAAACTCCCTGTAAGGGCGTTATATAGGGGATTAGGGTTTGGGATTTTGGGTTTAGGATTTAGGGTTTGGGTGTAGGGTTTAGGATTGAGGCTTTAGGGTCTAAACTCCTTAAATGGGCTGTATAGGGATTATCTAGGTGCGTATTTTAGGGTTATGAAGCGGGAGAGCTTAGACTATAGCTCGAATGTCTTTGGACAATGAGCAGTTTCCAGAAACGTGGGAACCTAACATGGACTTAACATATGCCATACAACAGGGCGTCCAAACAAGGGGCCCCTAACTTGCGGAAACCGCCGCCTGTGTTGCAAATCTTGTATCCTCAAGTTTAGACCCCTAGCCTCCAACTCGAAGTCCGAACTCTTCTGACGCTTATCACTACCCGAGCCCTACATACCAATCAACCCCCAACCTTCCAAGAGCCTCAGACCTTCAGTGCTTGCACGCGCCAAGGACAGCTGTCAGTGCTAAACGCACAGGCAGCCCCATTGCGGCTCGACTTTTTTCGTTCAGGGTTAAGTTCTGGGTCTAGGGACCTTTGCTGCTTGTAAGGGTTTCAGTTTAATACCCTGCCTGAACCCTAACCGGGTATGATTTGCTTACCTAACTGCGGAAAGGCTCTTTTTCTGTTTCCGTGGACGGCATGGACAAGACCCGCGCGGGTTTTTCTTTCTAGGAGAACAACGGAGAATCAAATCGAAGAGAAAATGGAGAATAAAACTGCAAACTAATATTTGGGGTTTAGGGATTAGGGATTGGGGTTGGGAGTGTCTTGTTAGGGTTCAGGAAAATTGTTGGGTAACTTCATGTAGTAGACCCACTGAGGTGTTGTTTTCTGTTCTATGAGTTTGAGGCACAGGTATTGTGCCTGACATGTTTCTCACGGCTTCAAGATTGTCAGCTGGTAAGCTAAGATAACTAGACTCTGAACCCAACGTTTGAAACCTAAACTCTGCTTCCAAGTCTCACTTTCCGGTTCCTTTACATGTAAAACAGTAATAAACCTCCCCCCCCGGCCCCCACGCCTTAAGTATTGTATCTGCTGTAAGCTATAAGCCCCCAAGCGCTCGCCCTAGGATTCATCTATGTCTGGGGCATTCTGCACTTCACAAGTCATTGGTGGAGGCGCTCCTCCAGCACTTTGGAAGCAATGCGCAGGGTCAAGCAGCACGTAGGGTTTCGGTTTTAGGGCTTCGTGCTTATAAATCCTTATACTCCTTATAATCCCAACATCTTCAACCCTAAACCCCAATCCCAAAAAGCTAAACCCTATGGGGCTTTAACCTTCACACCCGGGGCGCGCCCAGCCCAGGTACTGCGTGAAAGAGACCAAGCGCTGCGAAACGGCGGATGTTTCGAGACATCTGCATCGCGCAAGACCGGGGTGGTGGCTCTTCTCACTCTAATAAGGTTGAAAACATGCACCCCTAGTATGGGCCCCTAACCCTGGGGTCCTTGTATATACCTACTGTATACCCTATATGTACCCTTAAGGGTCCCTAGAGCCCCCCATAATAAGGCCTAAGGGCCTATATTAGGAGCCCATACTTAAAAACAAAGATCTTCCCGCCAACCAAGTTTTCCGGGGTCAGGGTTGAGGGATTTTGATTTTCAAAGCTAGGGTTCATCGGGCTTCGGATTGCCATAAGATTGTTGAACCATCCGAAGACAGTGGAATTGTTGGGAAGAAGCACGAACAATCCATTATAGTCATGCAGTGTGCTCCCCCCATTACGCACTCCAAGTAGTCCTCAGTAATCTCTGACAAGTCCTCAGTTTTTGGTGGGCCCAAAATCTGGGTTGCTGTTAAGGAACTTGAATTAAGTTACCATAATGGGTATACATAGTAAATAATAGGGTTTCCCCAATGTAGTAGCTCAATTTAAGTTCCTTAACAGCAACCCAGAAATCTGCTGATCCCAAGATCTGGGTTGAGGGTTCTGCCCAGATCGTAACGCTACCACGAGACGGGCGCCACCTGTGTGCATGGGATCATGCGTCCTCAGGGTAGCTAGCTCCCGATTTAACGAAATTCAGTGAAACTTAAGGAGGTAGGATTGGGAGGCCTAATGAGGCTGGAAATCAACATGGTGTCGAGACGGAACAGGTAAAGATAGAGAGTTTCATTTTGGGAACAGATATGTACATCTGCTTCTTCAAAGGTATAGCTTGCCTTATAGTCCCCTCAAGCAGATAGAATATGGCTTTGGGTATATTATTATAAGATCCCCATATACCCCATATTCTCTCTACTTAAGGGGGACTAGCTTGCGCTAGGTAGGGCTTAGGGACCACCACTCAGCAGTTCCCGTTGAGCGCGGCTGGCAGAACAGCACGAACGCACAACAAGGGGAGGGGGGGGGTTCCAAAAATAGGGGATAAGGATACCTTTTCGGGGGTCCTTTTATTGATTACAATACTTTGGGGTCTATATTTGGATCCCCCGCAATGTGGAGAAGCTGCCACATACAAGACAATCTTCACGAGCGGCGCATGAGCAAGTTTAGTGTGGCTTAGGATAGAACACTTTGGAAGCCCTTGATCCTGACCCCTGATCCGCAGCCAAAACTCGAACCCTGAGCCCAAGACCCCAAACCCTCCACCCTAAACACTAACCCCCCCAACCCCAAACATTAATTCCTAAACCCTGAAACCTCAAAACCCGACGCTCATCCCTGATGAGGACAGCGCCTAGAGATCCGAACTCATCAAGTCAGCCAGCGACTCCTCAAGAACACTCGATTCACCGCCAGGACTCTAGGGTTTGGGGTTTAGGGGTTTAGGGTTTAGGGTTTTAGGATTTAGGGGTTTAGGGTTTGGAGGTTTAGTGGTTTAGGATTTTGGGGTTNNGGGTTAGGGGTCAGGGTTTAGGGCTTGATTTGGTTTGGTCTCGCTTTAAGGCATTAGCCTCTTCAGGATACCTGTTGCAACCATTACAAGCGTACTTATAGAGAATCAAGGAAAGCAGGCAGCGCAAGATTGAAGGCCTACATGTTTCTAAGCACAGCGTTTGTGCTTTTTCTACCTACACCCATAGGAAATTGGGGCCGCAAGGATCCTAAATCCCACGAACGCTAGATCTTTTTAACCTCTAAACAGCCTACAAACCCTACAAGCCCAAGACCAAACCCTAAAGACCCCAAACCAAATAAATCCTAGACCCCCCCCCCCCCCCCCCCTCCCCCATAAACCTTGTAATCTCAAGAGGTTTGTCGACATCGTCTCGGCTTCCTTCACTGCTATTTGGGATGAGTCTGGTTGCGACGATTATGGCAGTCCGTCGCAGGTGCCTCTTCGGATCCCCTGAGTTCAGGGTTGAGGGTTCAGGGTGTAGGGGTCAGGTTTCAGAGTTTAGGGTTCAGAGTTGAGGATTCAGGATTTAGTAAGGTTTAGGGTTCATGGTTGAGGGTTCAGGTTGAGTGTCATATGTGGGTTATACAAATTGTCAAAGGGTCATATTTGTAGAGGTCTTCTCTAATTCCCTTGTAAGGGTCCTTCTTGGAGGGGTCCATACTATCTGGGGGGTGGAGGGTTCAGGGTTTAGGGTTACCCTATCTTTCGCATGAATTAGGCTGTTCAGAGGAAAGGGTTCAGAGTTTCGGTTAGCGGTTTGGGGTTCAGGCTTCGGTTAAGGGTCTGAGGTTTGGAGGCATGTAGAACATGCTAAAAACTGGGGCCATGGCTTCCAAACCCTAATAGCCCTAAACCGTAAACCTTACATCCTAAAACCGAAACCCTAAACCCTAAACCTTAAACCCTAAAACCCAAAAACCCTAAACCTTAAACCCTAAACCACAAAAAAGTTGGGACTCAAGTTGAGAGAACAAGATCGGTTTGCGCTACTTCCTCCTAAGTACCAAAAGGCCCGACTGGACTGAAGTGTAAGAATCTCATACTAGGGTTGAGGGTTTGGGCTCATATAGGATTATAAACAGGGTTGTATACACAGGGTTAGACATAGGGTTATATACAGGGTTATGTATATAGTTTTACAAATGTATACATATATATATATATATCCAGGGTCATCTATCTAGGATTATATATAGGGTCTAGGGTCTAGGGATATTGCCCCATTAATGGAAACCCAAATTGCTTGTCCTTCCGAGTCGCACTCCGGGCCTGACGGGCCTTGACCGGGGCCTCAGGACCTCAAAAGTAGGGTTTCGGGTTTAGGGTTTCGGGTTTAGGGTTCAGGGTTTAGGGTTCAGAGTTTAGGGGTTAGGGTTTAGGGTTCAGGGTTCAGAGTTTAGGGGTTAGGGTTTAGGGTTCAGAGTTTAGGGTTTAGGGTTCAGGGTTTAAGGGCTTCGGGACCAAGACCCCTAAACAAGGATCAACAAGGACAGTATTCTACATACCATGAGGGTCCAGGAAAGCAAAACATGCACCTGCACCCACAACCCTAAACCCTATCACCCTAAACTCGGAACCTTAAACCCTAAATCCCTATAAGCCATGAACTCCATTGAAACACCGTAAACCCCATAAATCCTAAACCCCAAACCCTACACCTGAACCCAACGTCCTAAATCGTCTCTATCGAGCCTAGGTAGCGCCGGCTAGCCTCATGAACCCTATATACCCCTGTATTCCAACCCCCTATATATCCTTATTACTGTAACTTAAACTAAGTTCCTCAACAGCAACCCAGTCTAGGTCGCCGAAGCGCCGTCTAGCCTCATGAACTTGCTTGCCTGCATGCAGCAGCTGACCGCAGCATCTGAAAGGCCGGGTGGAGTCCTACCAAACTGGGAATATAGGGTTTAGGGTTTAAGGTTTAGGGTTTAGGAATTAGGGTTTAAGGTTGAGG